CCCGCCACGACCACGCCCCCTGCCCCGCCCAGGCCACGCCCCCTGGCCCGCCCAGGCCACGCCCGTCCCTCCTCATTGGCGGAGAGCCGGCCCCGCCCCTTCTCTGATTGGCTCCCGGCGGGTCCGGCTGGGCGGGGCCCGGGGGTCGCGATCGCCACCGGGGGTCGCGACAGAACCCCASCCCCACCCCCGTGAGTACCGGGCCCGGGGCTTGGCGGGGGCTGCCGGGCGGGAAATGGGGCCGGGGGCGTCCCGGGGGGCTCCAGAACAGCTCCAGAGSRGCTCCGGGTGATCCCGGGGGRCARTCCGAGGGTCCYGGGGGGGCTCCGGGGGTGTCCGGGRGCACCGAAACACCSCMGAGACACCAGAGGGACACCCCTAAAACTCAAGGGGACACTCTCAGGGTCCCAAGGGGAATTGTCCCCCTCAGTGACCCGCCGGGAGCCCCCCAAACCCCCTCAGAACTGATTCCCCTCAGAGCATAGGGCGGGCCGGGGTGGGGGCTACGGGAGACCCCAAAAGGGCAGAGGGGCTACCGGGGGTCAGGATGGGCTACCGGGGGCCAGGAGGGGCTATCGGGGGTCAGGATGGGCTATCGGGGGTCAGGGGGGTCCCTGAGGTGGTCCTGGGGGTCCCTGAGGGGTTTCTGGGGGGTCCGGGGCTGTCCCGGCCGTGGCGGTGGTGACAGACCGCACGTCCCCAACGCGGGATTGCGACAGACAAATCCAACCGGGCTTCCGCTGAATCACCCAAAAAAAAAACCCTCCCCGGCCCCAAAACACGTGGGGACATGCCCCGGGAATGGGGGGACCCAGAAGGGGTTGAGGGGACCCAGAACCAGCACATCGCGGTGGGAGGGGAGGTAAACCCCATCCCAAAACCCCATCCCAAAACCCTTTTCAGACACCCCAAAACACCCCCGAGAGCCCGTCAGGACCCGCGGGGTGCTCTCACTTGTATTGTGAGGTGGGGGCTCTCAGCCCTCACGGGCTGGGGGGTTCTGGGGGTCTCACCCACCTTTATCACCCCAAAATCTCCCTCTTCCCGCCGCAGCCGCCACTGCCATGTCCGAAAACGCCGCGGTGCCGGCAGAGGCCGGGCCGGAGGTGAAGGTAGGGCAGCACCGAGGTTTTGGGGTGCATTATCGAGGGTTTGGGGTGCTCCACCGAGGGTTTGGGGTGCACTATCGAGGGTTTGGGGTGCACCACCGAGGGTTTGGGGTGCTCCACCGAGGGTTTGGGGTGCACTATCGAGGGTTTAGGGTGCTCCACCGAGGGTTTGGGGTGCACTACCGAGGGTTTGGGGTGCACAGAGGGTTTGGGGTGGCTCTGGAGACCCCATCTCAGTGTCCCCACACCCCAGAGCGTGGTGACCCGCGTGGCCAACCTGCCCCTGGTGAGCTCCGCCTATGATATGGTGTCCTCGGCCTACACCTGCACCAAGGAGAGCCACCCCTACGTGCGCTCCGTCTGCGATGCCGCCGAGAAGGGGGTGAAGACGCTGACGGCGGCGGCCGYGAGCGGGGCCCAGCCCCTCCTCACCCGGCTGGAGCCCCAGAGTGAGTGAGGGAGAGGGGACAGAGCCCCACGAGGGGTGAGGGAGCCCAGGACGGGCTCGCACCGAGCTCCTGTGGGCCAGCAGGAGAGGGAGGGAATGGGTTTGGGTCTCTGGTTTGTGTGGTTGAGGAGTGAGGGGCTGGGGAAGCTGGGAGGCAGCACCCTATGAATTTTGGGGTGATGGAAAAGCAGCCCTGGCAGCAAGGCAGCAGGAGAGGGAAAAGCTGTTTCCTTATTTCTGTTTGTTCCACCAAAAAAAATATACCTGGAAAGGGCTGGGGAAGGCAGAGGCATCCCTTGAGGGCTGGGGTATCCCAAAACCTGCCCTGGCACAGCTCCTGCAGGGCAGGAAGGTGCTAAACCCACCCCTTTTCACATCCCCAATTTACATCACCAATGGATAAAGGACTGGGGAAGCTGGAGGATGGGAGGAGAAGCAGTTCACGAGTTTTGGGGTACCCCAAAACCTGCCCTGGCACAGCTCCTGCAGCAGGAGAGGGAAAAGCTGTTTCCTTATTTCTGTTTGTTCCACCAAAAAAAACACACCTGGAAAGGGCTGCACCCCTTTGAGGGTTGGGGTACCCCAAAACCTGCCCTGGCACAGCTCCTGCAGGGCAGCAGAGCACCAAACCCACCCCTTTTCACATCCCAAATTTACATCACCAATGGATAAAGGACTGGGGAAGCTGGAGGATGGGAAAGGAAACACTTCACAAGTTTTGGGGTACCCCAAAACCTGTCCCTAGCACAGCTCCTGCAGGGCACCAAACCCACCCCTTTTCACATCCCTAATTTACATCACCAATGGATAAAGGACTGGGGAAGCTGGAGGATGGGAGAGGAAACACTTCATGAGTTTTGGGGTACCCCAAAACCTGCCCTGGCACAGCTCCTGCAGGGCAGCAGAGCACCAAACCCACCCCTTTTCACATCCCCAGTCTCCACCGCCAATAAATTCGCCTGCAAAGGGCTGGACAAGCTGGAGGAGAAGCTGCCCATCCTGCAGCAGCCCCCCGAGAAGGTAACATCACCCTGGGGGACATGGGGAATGCTCCGGGGCTCAGCGAGGAGCTGGGATGAGCCTCTGGTGTCCCCTCCCAGCTGGTGGCCGGGACCAGGGCGCTGCTGTCAGGCACGGTGAGCGGGGTGGTGGCCAGGACACGCTCGGTGCTCGGGGCCGTGGCGGGCACTCGCGTGGGGCGGCTGCTGGCCACGGGCGTGGACACCATGCTGGGCCGGTCCCAGGAGCTGCGGGGTCGGTACCTCCMCAGGGCACACGAGGAGCAGGGTGAGTGGCCACCATCGTTCAAATCTCAGGGTGCCAGGCTCTCCTGGACCCTCACCCCATTGTCACACGCGGTGACACCGAGGTCACTGTGACCCACGCAAGGGACAGTCCCTGTCCAGGGGATTGGGGTGGCAGCGGGGTGAACTCTCACCTGGAAACCCCAAAGCAAATATAATCCCGTGCTGCCCRTATGGGTATTTATAGCCTGGCACGGGGTGACTTTAGCCAGAGCTGGCCCCGTGTCACGGCTGRGGTGACCGCAGAGGCCACCTGGCTCAGGGTGGCACCTCCACATGACGTGGTGGCCAAGCATCCCATGGGTGGCCACACTGGGCTCAGTGCCCGGCRTGGGATGGCCCGGCCACACTGCCCTCGGCCCTACTCCCACAGCAGTGGCAGGGACGGAGGTGACCACGGGCACAGAGGTGACCACGGGCACGGAGGTGACCGCAGGCAGAGAAGTGACCACGGGCACGGAGATGACCACAGGCACAGAGGTGACCACGGGCACAGAGGTGACCACGGGCACGCAGGTGACCACGGGCACAGAGGTGACCACAGGCACAGAGGTCGCTACGGGCACGGAGGTGGCCACAGGGACAGAAGTGACCACGGGCACGGAGGTGACCACGGGCACGGAGGTGACCACGGGCACGGAGGTGACAACAGACACGAAGGTGACCGCGCAGAGGCGGTGGCAGAGCTGTTTTGTCCGTGTGGGCGCGCTGACGGCCATGCTGCGGCCCCGGGCCCTGCGGCGCTCGCCGGGTGACCTGCAGCGGGCACGGCACCGCGCCCAGCGGCTCCTGGGCCAGCTCCACCACATCATCCATCTGGTAAGGGTGGGGAAGGGACCGTGCCAGCCCCGTGCCAGTCCCATGGGTGCTCCCAGCTGGCTGAACCTCCCTCCCCCAGATCGAGGAGGGGCAGCGGGGCACGGATGGACCCCGGCGCGGCACCCGGGAGCAGCTGCACCGCCTGTGGGTGGAGTGGAGCCAGCAGGATGCGGTGCCCATGGAGGACAGCGAGGTACGGGGGGTGGGGACACCTTGGGGGGCACCCGGGGAGAGGGTGGGGACACCGCCCAGCGGGTCCCTTGAGGTGGGGACACGTGGCAAGGGGATGGTGGCACCTGGAGCAGCTGTGGGTCCATCCAGGTGGGGTCGGGGTCCATCACCCCCAGCCCCCTCTGCCCACCCCGCAGGTGGAAGCTCGGACCTTGGCCATGCTCCGCGGGCTCCTGCACCARCTCCACGCCGCCTGCTCCCACCTGGGCGCCCGGGCGTTCCCCGGCGGCGTGCAGGACACGGYGGGACACGTCCGGCACGGCGTGGAGAGCATCCAGGCCGCCCTGGCCGGTGCCCGCTCCTTCCAGGAGCTGTCGGGGCTGGCGCTGGCGCAGAGCCGGGACGCGGTGGCGCGGGCTCAGCTGAGCCTGGAGGCGCTGCTGGAACACGTAGGGCAGCGAACGCCYCTGCCCTGGCTCGTGGGTCCCTTCGCCCCCGCGCTCGTGGAGTACCCCGAGGATGTCCCCGTGGAGATGGCCAAGTGGGAGGGCTGTGTCACCGTCGGGGGGACGCACCGGGCGCCCGCTGCCCCGCGGGTCTGCAGCCAGCACTGAGCCAGCGAGCTGGGGGAGCACCCACCCATCGTGAGCCCCAATCCCACCGGGATGGACTGGGTGACCCGGTGTGGGACGCCGGTGTCACAGCTGAGGACTGGTGTGGGGTTGGTGGCATGTGGAGGACACAGCGTGTCTGCGATCCAGGGCTGCCCTTAGCCCCAGAAGCATCGGGATTTCGTGTTTTAACAGCTTCAAACCAGTTTAAAGTGGAAGAAAACAACTTTTTTGGCCTGAAAAATGACTCAGAGCCCGCAGTGTTGCGGCAGAGCCACCGTGCCGGGCTCACCGGGGGGCTCCGCACGGGCGGCAGAACCGGGGGCACCCCCGGGGGGTTCGATAGGGGGGTGCCAGGGTGGGAGAGTGGCACGGGGGTCCATGGGGCGCTGCGATGGAGGTGTCACAAGGTGCCACAAGGGACGGTCTGGACTGTGACCCGCAGCCGTGTGGCACTGAACTTTGTCCCGGTTGTCACCACGGCGGGGCTGGGCCCGCCCCGGGGTATCCCCGGCGTCACAAGCGTAGCGTGGTCACAGCAGCCGGTGGGGTGACACGGGACACGCCGGGATTGTCCATCCTCCTCCTGCCGCCGGGACCCCCCGACCAACAGCACCGGGCCAGGTGCGGGGCAGCACCGGGACCCCCGCGCTGGGGAAGGGAGGGGAAAATCGGGGGGTCAGGGCAGGGTTTGTCCGGGGGTTCGGTGCCTGGGAAGGTCGGCGGGGGGATCCGGTGCCGGGCGGGGGGGTGAGGTCTCTGATTCCGTGCTCCGGGGGTCACTGCGGCCGGATCCCGGGAAATCGGGTCGGTGTGGACCGGTGCCGGTGGTGTCCGGTCCCCAGGGGTGGAGCAGCCCAGTCCCGGGGGATTCGGGACCGGGAAAGGGGGGGTCAGTGCAGCACCGACCGTGGAATCGGGACCGGGGGCTCAGCGCAGCCCAGTCCCGGGCGATCCGGTACCGGGGAGGGGGGACTCGGTGCAGACGGTTCCCGGGGGTTGGGAATCCCGGTCACGGTCCCGGGGGATCCCAATCTTGGTCCCCGGGGTTCGCTGCCGCCCGGGTGCCGTGCTCCCCGGCGGTCGCTGCTCCCGGTCCGCCCCGGGCCGGCCCCGCTGGGCGGCTCCGGTCACATGCGTTCGGGGCGGGCTCCGGGCTATAAAGGGCGGCGGGGAGGAGCGGGGCGAGCCCGGAGCCCAACCGAGTCCAGCCGAACCGAGCGGAGCCGCCAGCGGTGAGCACGATCCGGTACCGCGATCCCGATCCCGATTGCGATCCCGGTTTCGGTTCCGACCCAGCTCGCGATCCGGGTTCCGATCGCGATCCCCGTCCTCGTCCCGATCCCAGTCCCGGTCCCGGTCCCGATCGCAGTTCTAGTCCCGGTCCCGGTAGCGGTCTCAATCCCGGTCTCAAACGCGATCCCGGTCCCGCTCCCGCCCGTGATCCCGGTCCCGTTCCCGGTGCCCGGGGCCCCCCTATCCCGGCTTTTTCCACAACTGCGTGGGAGTTGTCCTGTCCCAGGGAGGGGTAACTTGGGGTCCTCCCTCCCGGGGGTCGGAGGGGGGTCCTGGGGGGAGGTTTGACCCCACTCATGGTCGTGTCCTGTTTCCCCCAGCCCCACCATGGCCACCAGCGAGCCCACGCCGGCGCAGCCCAAGGCAGAGGAGCAGCAGGTCAGTGCGGGCAAGGCGGGGGAAGTTTGGGGGGATCCACGGAGTCCCTCCTTGGGGACGGGGATCGCGGTTATCCCACCCTCCGACGGGCTCGGAGAGCCTTGAGAACACCCAAAAACCATCCCTGCGGGGCTGGGAACACACAGCACACCCCATTCCCTGGGAGATTTGGGGTCCGCCAGCCTCCACACCCACACTGAGCCCTTTTGGYCCCCAGAACATCGGGACCCGCGTGGCCAACCTGCCCCTGGTGAGCTCCGCCTATGATATGGTGTCCTCGGCCTACACCTGCACCAAGGAGAGCCACCCCTACGTGCGCTCCGTCTGCGATGCCGCCGAGAAGGGGGTGAAGACGCTGACGGCGGCGGCCG